AAAAGTATGTGAACCCTTGGATTTAATAACTGGTTGAACCTCCTTTGGCAGCAATAACTTGAACCAAAAGTCTCCTGTAGTTGCAGATCAGACGTGCACAACGGTCAGGAGTAATTCTTGACCATTCCCCCTTACAGAATATTCTTGGGATGTCTGGTGTGAATCGCTTTCTTGAGGTCATGCCACAGCATCTCAATCGGGTTGAGGTCAGGACTCTCACTGGGCCACTTCAGAAGGCGTATTTTCTTCTGTTTAAGCCATTCTGTTGTTGATTTACTTCTATGCTTTGGGTCATTGTCCTGTTGCAACACCCATCTTCTGTTGAGCTTCAGCTGGTAGACAGATGGCCTTAAGTTCTCCTGCACAATGTCTTGATAAACTTGGGAATTCATTTTTCCTTCAATGATAGCAATCTGTCCAGGTCCTGACGCAGCATAGCAGCCCCAAACCATGATGCCCCCACCACCATACTTCACAGCTGGGATGAGGTTTTGATGTTGGTGTGCCGTGCCTCTTTTTGGCCACACATAGTGTTGAGTGTTTCTTCCAAACAACTCAACTTTGGTTTCATCTGTCCACAGAATATTTTGCCAGTACTGCTGTGGAACATCCAGGTGCTCTTGTGTAAACTGTAAACGTGCAGCAATGTTTTGTTTGGACAGCAGTGGCTTCCTCTGTGGTATCCTTCCATGAAATCCATTTTTGTTTAGTGTTTTACGTATTGTAGATTCGCTAACAGGGATGTTAGCATTTGCCAGTGACTTTTGTAAGTCTTTAGCTGACACTAGGATTCTTCTTCACCTCATTGAGCAGTCTGCGCTGTGCTCTTGCAGTCATCTTTTATGGCCACTCCTAGGGAGAGTAGCAGCAGTGCTGAACTTTCTCCATTTATAGACAATTTGTCTTACCGTGGACTGATGAACAGCAAGGCTTTTGGAGATACTTTTATAACCCTTTCCAGCTTTATGCAAGTCAACAATTCTTAATTGTAGGTCTTCTGAGAGCTCTTTTGTGCGAGGCATCATTCACATCAGGCAATGCTTCTTGTGAAAAGCAAACCCAGAACTGGTGTGTGTTTTTTATAGGGCAGGGCAGCTGTAACCAACACCTCCAAACTCATCTCATTGATTGGACTCCAGTTGGCTGACATCTCACTCCAATTAGCTCTTGGAGATGTTATTAGTCTAGGGGTTCACATACTTTTTCCACCTGCACTGTGAATGTTTACATGGTGTGTTCAATAAAAACATGGCAACATTTCATTCTTTGTGTGTTATTAGTTTAAGCAGACTGTGATTGTCTATTGTTGTGACTTAGATGATGATCAGATCACATTTTATGACCAATTTGTGCAGAAATCCATATCATTCCAAAGGGTTCACATATTTTTTCTTGCAACTGTATATTTAACCCTATAACTTTCCAAGACACCATAAAACCTGTACACGGGAGGTACTGTTATACTCGGGAGACTTCGCTGAACACAAATATTAGTGTTTCAAAACAGTAAAATGTATTACAACGATGATATCGTCAGTGAAAGTGACTTTTTTGCATTTTTCACACACAAACGGCACTTACATTGATGATATTATTGCTGTGATACTTTTTACTGTTTTGAAACACAAATATTTGTGTTCAGCAAAGTCTCCCAAGTATAACAGTACCCCTCATGTACATGTTTTAAGGTGTTTTCAAAAGTTACAGAGTTTTTTGCATTTTTCACACACAAACAAATATTAACGCTAACTTTGGCTAGTGTTTGTGACCAAGTGGCTACTAAAAAAGACTGGACATACCCCATTTGAACTGAAATTGGGGGAATGTGGGGTGATGCAACCCCTGTTTGACTATATTCTTTCTCTCACTTTTAAATGTGCTCAACATAAGAGAAAAAAAAGTGAGGGAATGTGGTGACATTCTGTCATCAAACTAATATGGTGACCAGGGATCATGTGACCAAGCTCATGTTTTTTTTCTTACAGTGGGATAAGCTTTACCCTTTTGAAATGTTAATTGGTAATTCAATACCTTTACTAGTCAGGAAAGAGATAACCACTTCCCCCTATCTCCATTCCTCTCTGTTCCTTCTTGGCTGTGCTACTGAGCAGTCCTTTAAGCAGACATGGCCTAATTTCCATCATGGTGAACTATAGAGTTTGGTAATACACCACACCTTGGGTTGTCTACTTCTGCAAATGGTGTGCCATTATGGGGGTTATTCTCATTCCTGGGCTACCATACGGTCTCAAAGGCAACATAACCAATTGGCGCCAAAAATGGTCCATCCAATCAAATTAAAATCAAATTTGGCAAGTTTAAAACCCATAAATAACTTAATAAAAAGATAGTACATGATAGTAGGACATGATTCTAATATATATTAGTCTAAAACGAGGATAGAAAGATAAAAATAAAAGCGATTTAGCGCAAATGCCAGGTTTTGTTTACATTTTGTTTTGATTACAACGTGTACATTTGGCTCAGTCCTTAGGGGGTTAAGTCTGCCTCCAGTGGCTGTCTGCCAGACAGCCACTGTAGGCACCTCCTGCTTCCTAATGGACCTTTGATCCTGTAACTGATGCTGGTGGTCCTCACGCTCTGTGTGAGGACATCCAATGTCAGATTTTTCCCCATAGGAAAACATTGTTTCAGTGCTTTCCAATGGGAAGGTCTAATGCGTATTTGATGTTGCGGGACGACAAAAGAGGCGCTGAAATAAGGTAAGTAAGTTTTTAACCCTTTTCACAAAGGAGTGGTTATACTGCTATACTACTAAACCCTTTAACAATAGTAATATTGATAACATCTACAGCACCTGCCGAAATAGCTCAGTTGGGAGAGCGTTAGACTGAAGATCTAAAGGTCCCTGGTTCGATCCCGGGTTTCGGCAGCTATTTTACAAGATTATTGAATAAGTAATGACAAATGCAGAATGTACACATTACCAAATTCTTGATAAGAGAATTTATGAAATTCAGTTGCTGGTCAATTCCATGTATCAAATATTACTATGTAAGGTATGGGATAACTCCGAATTTTATAATGTTCTATAAAAGTAAAATACATATGCAATATAATATGTAGTTCATATAAATTAAATAAAGTAATAATTTAATCTGTTAGATTTAAAATGCTTTTTTATTATTTTTATTTGTGAACTATATAGTAATATAAATATGCCTGCAGGACATATATGTGTAAATACAGACTGCCAGTAAGTGGCACCACAGTCCATTTAACTCCAGTTTATAGGAGAACAGGCTCAAGGGTGATCAGACAAACACGCATGATAAACTTCTATTAGCCTACATGTTTTTGTAGTCTGATGGGAGCTATTTTATAAAACTCTATGCAAAAATAAGTCTGCTATGTTCAGGAGACGAACTAAGGTCTGTTTCACCACATATGAGGGTTTATAAAGGGCCGAAATAGCTCAGTTGGGAGAGCGTTAGACTGAAGATCTAAAGGTCCCTGGTTCGATCCCGGGTTTCGGCAGTTTTTTTTTTTTCGGTTTTTCAAATTACCAGATTGATGAACGAGTTTTTGACTAATACAGAACTGCCCACATTGCTATATTTTCATTAAAGTAACACTAGACTACCTATTTAGAATGAGGTTAAAAAAAGTGAGTTTTACTTACCTGAAATTGTTACTCAAACTACCATGAATAATTATGCTTTAAGAAATGCTCTTTGTCATAGGAGTTTGTACGTGCTGCGTTTTACATACAGAGAAATTTTGCTAATTACATCCCCATCACATGTGACATAGGCAGCCGGAACTCTGCCTAATGTAAATTCTTTTTTTTTTACCCTTTTATTTTTTTTGGTTTTATTGCATTTTTACAATGTAACATTGCATTATAACATTTCCTCAAACGTGATTACAGACATGAGTATTTCAGTGCTTACAGTACTGTATTACCAAATAAGTCTGGGTGCTCTTCCTACAAAGTCTTGTAAGGAGGCGTAAAATATGGTAGCATCAGTCATCAGTTGTATATCAGTTAGGATTACTGTGATCGATATATTTGACATGTCTGCATATTATACGTGTATAACAGTAACAATGAGAACAATGAGAACATTTATAACTACTGGTTGTCATAACATCAACGTGTGCAGGTAGGGTGAGTTGGAACAAGGTTTTACCCTCTTTGTCGGTTAGGTGTGTGTACGTATCTTTTTGTGTATCTATGTTACAGCACCTGTCACGGTGCTGGTCAGATTTTTCCATACGTCCCTTTGATGGGGGCCCATCGGGTGTTGTGTCCATGAAAGGGTACTCTCTGCCTAGCTTATTGCTGGTCCACCATGTTTCCTACTTGATCTGTCATTGTCAGAGGTCAGTGTTGTGCCTAGGTCCCGACCAGGGCGGGTTGTGTTCTATAGTGATTAGATCGTTGGATCCATGGATCCCATGTGTGAGGGTATCTTGTTACATAACTGGAAAGGGAGTATCTGATCTCCTCTATAGTTCTGACATATTCCATTCTAGAGAACCATTCCTCTATTGGGGGTGAGATTTGTTGTTTCCAGTATTTGGTAATAAGGGCCTTGGCTGCTGTCCATAGGTAGAAATCTAGTGAGTTGCGGTAGACCTGCGGTAGAGGCCTAGGGGATAAGTGTAGCAATATCTCAGAAAAGGAGTGGGGTTTCGGTATTATGGCCAGGGCGGATGTTTTATGGTGTTCCAGTATGAGCGCAGTACTGGACATTCCCACCAGATGGGTTGGTATGTGCCCCTGTTCCCTCCGCATCTCGAGCACACATCTGGAACCTGCGGGTACATGTGGTGTAGCTGCGTGGGTGTCCTGTACCATCTCCTAATTAGTTTGTAGTTGGCTTCAACTAATGGGATGTTTACTGTGTTTTTGTGGGTGACGCAAAATATTTTGTACCCGTCAGTAGTGATGTCGCAAACCGTTCGCGAACTTCCCGCGAACGGCTCGCCGCGGTTCGCGGCAAACTCCGGTCAGCTGACACATCCCGGCCAATCTCCAGCAGACCCTCTCTCCCAGACCCTCCCACCTGGACAGCATCAACATGGATGCTGTCCAGGAGGTGGGAGGGCCTGGGAGAGAGGGTCTGCTGGAGATTGGCCGGGATGTGTCAGCTGACCGGAGATGTGTCAGCTGACCGGAGTTCGCCACGAACGGTTCGTGGCGAACCGTGGCGAGCCGTTCGTGGGAAGTTCGCGAACAGTTCGCGACATCACTACCCGTCAGATGTTGCAAGTGTGATTCCCAGTTCTTGGGACCAGTCCTCAATGAATTTGAGCATGATTTTGCGGGCCATGTCCTCAAATGAGGTGGGGGGTATTGATACAGGTTTGTTTCCGAATGGTTGAGATGAATTGGATAAGTCCATACATTTTGGCTACCCTCGGGGGCATAGTTCCGTGATTGGTCTGATTTTTCCCCCTGTCAGTCACATCCATTATGGTTACATAGGGGAATTGTGTGTGAGCGGGCCATAGAGCACCTCACATGCCAGGTGGAAATGCTGGGCTGTGGGATATAGGTAGTAGTGAAGATGTAGTGCCTATCAGGTTGTATTTGTGGGCAAATTTCTTCCATAAATGTGTTAGAGGGCCTATAGTGGGGTGTGGCTTGGGGCAGATACTGGTGGGTGCCACTTTCTGCCATGGTATGGAGGCCAGCGGCACCTCTACCCACTCTTGTTCCAATGTTTTCCACTGTTTGTGGCTATCTCTATGGCACCCTTCCCAGATTCTGGTGAACTGGGTGGATAAAAAGTAGTGGAAGGGTCGGGTAATCCCAGTCCCCCCCGTCTTGGGTCTTGTCAGGGTACTGAACGACAGTCTAGGTCTGTGGCAAAAACATAAAAAGTCAGTGAATATCTATACTACGGAGGCGAAAAACAAGGGGGGCACTTCTATGGGTAGTGTTTGGTACAGGTATAGCAGGCAGGGGAGGGCGTTCATTTTAATAATGTTTATCCTGCCTATCTAAGATAAGTATGATTTATTCCATCTTGTGGTGTCTCTTTTAAGAGCTTGGAGTAGTGGTGTGAAGTTTAGTGTGTATATGTCTCGTAAGCATGGAGTGATTTTTATCCCTAGATATTTAATGTGTTGTTGGGCAATTTTGAAGGGAAATTTAGTTTTAATTTTAGTAAGCATTTGGTCTGCAATCGCTATTGGGAGTATTTCACTCTTATAATAGTTCACCTTAAAGTTGGATATGTTCGATAAATTCGATATTAAGGATAGTAGTTGGGGTAGGGAAGTAACCAGGTTTGTAATGGTGAATAGGAGGTCATCGGCGTAAGCCGAGATCTTGTAGTGGGTTTGTGTACCTAGTACAATTAGTAGGGGGGAGAGTGGACATCCCTGACTCGTGCCATTAGGAATAGGCAGAGGGTCGGAATATGTGCCGTTAACCTGCACCCTTGCTTGAGGTTGGGAGTATAGTGCCTTGATCCACATCAGTCACTTTTCACAGAACCCCATGTCCTCCAACACTTTGAAGAGTAGGGACCAGTCCACCCAATCAAATGCCTTTTCGGCGTCTATACTGATGAGCAGTGTTGGGGTTTTTTGGGCTTTTGATTTATGTATGATGTTCATTATTTTGATGGTGTTGTCTTTGGCTTCTCTGTTGGGGATGAAGCCTGCTTGGTTTGGGTGTATTAATCTTGTTAGTAAGGGTTTGAGTCTGAGAAAATTTTAATGTTGTTGTTGATGAGGGAGTTTGGCCTATAGTTGCTGCATTTAGTGTGGTCCTTTTCTGGCTTTGGGATCAGAGTGATTGTGGCTTCCAGTGCCTAGGGGCTGAACATTGATCCTGACTTCAGTGAGTTAAACATTTGCAGCATGTGTGGGCCCAGTTGGGGGGCAAATATTTTATAACATTTGTTTGAGTACCCGTCCGGTCTGGGGCTCTTTCCATTAGGGGCTGCTTTGATCGCTGCAGTCAGCTCCTGGTGTGTGAATGGGTTATTGAGCGAGTTGAGCATTTCGGGAGTCAGTCTGCTCGTTATGTGTTTCTGTATATAATCATGTCTATCGGTGTCTGTCGTTCTGGGGGCTGGAAGGCCATATAGCTCTGCGTAGTATTGGTGGAAGGATTTAGCTGTTAACTGTCAACTGGTGTGTTTTGCCCTGTAAGTCAGTTATTTTAGGTATATATGACTTGTTTAGCTTCTGTCGTAATGTGTTTGCTATCAGTTTGCCGCCTCTGTTCCCATGGGCATAGAAAGAGTGTTGTGTGAGTGTCAGGGCTCTCTTAGTTTTGTGATGTAGGAGTTTAGAGAGCTCTTCTCTCGTAAGTGTGAGTTTCCTGAGTGTGTTAGGGTCCTGGTCGGTCTTATGCGTGCTCTCTAGGGCCTGTATGTCTGTGGTGAGAGCCTGGATTTTGGACTCTCTTTCTTGTTTTATTCTAGCCCCTATTTGAATGAGATGTCCTCTTATTACACATTTGTGCACCTCCCAGGTGGTCTGTGGTGTGATGTCTGTTGAGGGATTCTCATGGAAGTAATGCAGAATCAGTTCCTGTAGGTGGATTTTATTTTGTTGGTTATCGAGTAAGGGGCCATTGAGTCTCCAGTTCCACATATAAAGGGTCACGTCAGGTAGTTTCATAATGACATGGACAGGGTCGTGGTTGGTCCAGGTAATTGGTCCGATGTATAATTTGTAGATCAGATGTAGGAATCTTTGTGGTATGTATACCGAGTCTATACGTGTATAGGATTCGCTGGGGTGGTAAAGTCATTAGTAGAGGGGTTAGCATACCTCCAGCAATCCATTAGTTGGTTCGAGTTGGTTCGAGTGGAAGGACTGGATACATATGTTTCTATGTACCGAGTTGTGGTCAAGGTACTGTCAGGGGGTGTCTAGTGGAATGTTAAAGTCTCCTCCGCACGCAAGAATTACAGACGTAAAGTGTGTCACTTTGGCTAGGGTGCGTTTTAGGAATGTGCCTTGTTTAGTGTTAGGGGCGTATATTGAAGCAAAGGTGTAGGCCTGTGAGCCTATAGTCCCCTTAACAAATAGGTGCCTTCCCTAAGGGTCTGATAGTTGGTCCCCCAGTATGAAGGGTACGTGAGCTGTGAATAAGATAGCAACCCTCCTTGCCTTGCAACCCACGTAGTCCCCAAAGAAGCCCCCCGAATACCTGCGGTCACAGAGAGATGGCGCCCCGCCACTCTTAAAGTGAGTTTCCTGGAGCAGCATGATGGCCACACCCTTCCTCCTTATGTCTGCCAGTAGGAGGCGCCGCCTCTCCGGAATGTTCAGACCCCTTACATTCAACGACACTATATGGGAAGACATAGCATACACAGAGTAATTTAGCAATCAGTGATATGATCCCTAGTGTGGTTTCTGTAGGACATGATGTATCCTGAGACTATATGTAGTGCGAGTGATCTTCAGTGATCTTCCTACCTAGTAGTATTTAGCTATCTTAAACTGCACTTAAAGGTAAAAATTAACTAAAACGTAACAAACCGTAGTTAGTATATTATGCGAGATAAAAGAACGTGAAATTTTGTATTGGAGCAATGTAGAAAAACCGCCTGCGCACCTTTCGGGTAGGCAAGCAAAGTGTCAACGTGACAAGAGTCGGATATTCGTGTCTACCCCTGGGGTATAGGATAAGAATCCTGGTCCCTAGGAGTAATGAATTTGGCACGGCTTATGGTCCAGCGGCCACCGGTGAGGGTATCAAATAGGGGAGAGATTGGTCATTACTAGAGCTCGTGTGACCTGCAGAGCTGAGTATAGTTTTAGTTTCGCAACTCTTTATACATGTAGTACATTGGTGGTAGGGGATGAGTGTGGTATGTTAGGAGACATATGTGACCTCTTTTTTTTTTTGTGGTCTCGCATTACCACCCAGATTGGTTATCCTAACAAAAGCATCAGTGGGCGCAAAAGCATCAGACCGCTGGGTCTGTGTGAGCATGGTAACAATTTGAGAGCCTGTTGGTCTCTTTGAAACTGAGACCCACTACATAAAGGATACTTAGTGAGTTCATGCAAGCATGTTGTAGTAATTACTAGCAAGTTCAATATTCACTGCGAGGGGGCAGCAGTGGTGTAGAGTGACCTGACTAGGTCCTATCCGACTGTCCTTGTTGTTTGGCTTGTGACATGTGGGATGCGGATTTAGTTGGAGTTACATGTCTCCTGTGCCCGGTCAGCTCTCTTCTACGTTGTGGTGGGGGTGCTGTCGTGGGGTCTCCCATCTCGCTGTACTAATCTTGTATGGGGGCGTCTTGGAGATCCAGTGCTTGGATGAATGTCGGGGTGTCTTCTGCAGTGGTGATGGTGGCTGTTACTCTGTTGTGGTGAGCGGTAAGGGCAAATGGAAAGCCCCATCTATATCTGATCTGCCTTTCTCTCAGCTGGCTGGTAATTGGTTGTAGGGCTCTGTGGCCTTGTATGGTAATCCATGAGAGATCTTGAAATATTTTGAGGTTGCGTCCCTGGGAGCGTAAAGCAGGTGAGTTCCTTGCGTGCTTTATGATAGAGTCCTTTAAGGAAAAGTCATGGAGACAGCATATGATGTCACGGGGGGAGTCTTGCTCTGTCTGCTTTATCAAATTTAATGGGCGCTCCAGGATGGAGTTGAACAGGTTTGTAAGTAGTTGTGGTATATTTTCATAGTAACCAGTTTAGCCAACAACTGTCGAAGCAATAGTTTCGCATTCGGAGGCCAGGACGCAAGACACGTCCCAAAAGTAGCTATACTTGGCACGGGGAGGTCGAGAGAGGCAGGCAACATACCAGGGCATGTTTGCCCGCTGGTAGACTATCGAAGCCTATGTGGGAGGAGGATATGGCAGAGCGGTACATGTTGAGCGTGTGAAACGCCCGGCCGGAATCAAACATAGATGAGAGAAACCTAAGTATCTCTGTCACAGGGGCCAAAAGGGGATCCATGTCCTGAGCCAGGCACCAGCCAGCCCAGACACGCCAGAAGGCATCTAGCAGACTCCTGGGATTTCCCAAGGTCCTATTAAATCAGTTACGCCAACAGAGGGAACCAACCCTTGTTCACCAGTGCGTGAGGACGACCGTCGGGGTCCAAAAGGAGCCTCTGGTCAAGCGAGAGCAACCTGGGGAC